AACGCTCATAACATCTTCCCGAGAAACGCTTCGCAGATATGGAAAGCAGATTTGGAATCAGCGTCTGAAACTGCATCTAACAGTGCACATCGCTTCTTGAATCGTCATTTCGACTAAGTATCCTTCCCTTGTAGGTATTGAATTCTATTCCTTAGAAATTTAGAAACTATCGCAGTGTGGTCGACCAAGCTAATAGTGGAAAATAGTAGAATTTATCTATGAGGAAAAGAGATGTTAAAATGGCACGGTTATTGTTTACAGCTGCCTCAAGCAGCTGAAATACATGCTACATGCTTTCAATGATCTCACCAAAATCACATTTCTTTGTGTATTGAAATTTATTCTTTGTCAAATTAGCCTGGCTGATTTTGAACTGCCTTGCTTCGTTTCAAATCTGCACTATTCATTTAAACTGTTATGCTATGTATGACAACAAAAAATGGGTGCAATCATAAAAATTATTAAGTTGTTATTTTAGCACCAACCAAAACTTGACAGTGTCAGCTTCAACGAAGATCCGAAACCTTTCAGCATTTTGAAGATGATATGTGAATACATATACTAGACAATCATCTATTATTAAAGATAGTAAATGACATTTGTAAGTCTGGGTTACAGAGGTTGCAGCGGTACACATCATCAATATGTTCAGAAGAATCGTCATCCTCTTAGTGCTGGAAATAGTCTTTAGTGTTTGACGTACTTGATAAGTATAGCCGTTGAGCTGGGAGGCCTATCGCTGCAGCGTATAGATAGAAAAGCCACGTACCATCGTCCGCGCACACATAGCTTCCTCAATTTTGCCACTGCTGCGACGCTTCCGCTTCCGATTCCGCTTATTACAACATATAATCTTGTAGAACTGTTGCTAATGTTGTTCTTCCTTTCACTTTGTAAATATATTAGCATGTGCGAAAAGCAAATACAAATTTTATAACAGTTCTTTACATTGTATGCCACGTTCTGACGTTTTCTAACTCTCTAATAAATCTTATGGCTTTCAAGCTTTTAATCATTCTTGCTTAGCGTTTGAGTTTTAACAAGTGCTGCATATTTTCCATCCGCTTCTATCAATTCTTCATGTGTCCCATATTCAACTACAGAGCCATTTTCAATGTAATAAATTCTGAAATTAAATGGACATTCGTTTGATTACATGCACGATTGACAGAAAAACAAACCTGTCTGCATCTCTGATTGTACTCAACCTATGAGCGATGGCTATAGTGGTACGTCCTTGGCTCGCCTCGTTAAGTGCCGATTGTATAATCTGAAAAATGGAGGTAACTTGTGATTCATAAATACAAAATGGGCTAAGAGATGAAGAATGAAGAAACTGGTTTAATATAAAACGATTTGCTTTCGCTCTTCAATATAGGATTCTTTGAGTGAAAGGAATAAAAATGTGACATACTTTTTCACTTTCCGTGTCGAGTGCACTGGTGGCCTCGTCAAGCAATAAAAATTTCGGCTTACGAAATAAGGCTCTAGCAATAGCTATTCGTTGCTTTTGACCACCGGACAAATTCCCGCCTTTCTCGCCAACGTCCGTGTCATAGCCCTGAAATTTAAAATATGGTGTAACGAGCAAGAGTACAAGTACAAGCAACAAATCTTCGACATACCTCTGGAAATGCTTCAATAAAGTCCGCAGCGTTCGCTTGTCGGCATATCTTGCGAATTTCTTCTATGTTTACGTTTTTCAGTCCCAATGTGATGTTTTCCATAATTGTGCCTGTGTTTGAAGATAGTAAAACAATATAGATGAAACAATAATAAATAGTAAAACCTTTAAATAGGATTGGCTCCTGCCCAACAAGGCCAATACTATTTCTTAAGTATGCACGACTCAGCTTTTGTATATTGGTGTCATCGACTTTCTGAAATTGTTCCAAAAGCAGTTCAAAATATAAAACTCCTGTGAAACCTTTTCAAACAAATTTTTGCTAACCAAACTTACATACATACACTTTGGAGCATTACGGAGAACGTA